TAGAAAAAATGTATTGAAAAATTTATCTCGTTTTCTCTTCTAGTCTTTATTACAAATATTAGAATGATTGAAATAAATGTTATAGTAAATCGAAAGTTTACTAATTCGAATACTTTTATTATGTGACATGACCAGATTGTGTTATCTTGGGTCTTTCATGATGTGAAAAATTTATTAAAAATTCATATGGACATTTATCGAAGAGCCATAAGATTCTTCAATTTAATGAATTTTTATATTCCGCATGTTGTCAAGACAAATTGATTATTAAGCCATCATCAAGTAAAATTAAGATTGAATCTCTAGTATTTTTAGAATGTATTCAAGGTGATATGTGTGGATTAATTTGTCCACCATGTGTGCCATTTAAATATTTTATGATTTTAATAGATTCGTTCACAAGATGGTCACATATATGTTTATTATCTACTTGAAACTCGACGTTTTCGAGATTGCTAGCAAATAATTTAATTTCGAGCATAATTTTTAGATTATGCCATTAAAACAAGTCACTTTGATAATATTGGTGAATTTATCTTCCGAGCATTAAATGATTATTAATTGGCTAATGGCTATTAGAATAAAGGTTGAACATCCCGTTGCTTGTGTTCATACTAAAAAAGGTTTAGCGAAATTATTTATCTAAATGCTCCAATTGATAGCTAAATCATTATTTAAAAATAAAACTCCATGTTTATATTTGGGAACATGCAACCTTACATGTAATAATATTTATTCACATCGGACCCATAAGTTATCCGAAATTCTTTTCCCTTTAATTGGTTTATGGTCATGAGTCAAATATATCTTGTTTAAGAATTTGGTTTGCATTGCGAGTGTATATACTTGGTACTCATTCATAACAAAATATGAGTACTTAAAGGAGATTGAAAATATATGTTAGTTTTAAATCCTTTTCGATAATTAAATATCTTGAATAATGAATAAGTGATTTTTTACGACTTTATTTATCGATTGTCATTTTGATGAAATATTTTTTTCAACATTAGGGGAGAGAATAAACAAAATAAGCGATTGAAAATATTTTTTTTAAAAAGAGATCATATAGAGTACTCTATATTTATATCAATTTGATATAAAACAATGTGAACTAAAAGTTCAAAAGATAATTCGTTTATAATGTATTACAAACCAATTGTTAGATGCATCCTCGTATCCTAAAAGAGTAACTAAATGCATATCCTCGTTGAGAATACTTCTATTAGAATTGATATCCTAGAAGGACGATCTATTAATGTTATAGCTAATGAATCTAAAGCACGCTTGAAGTGTGAAAGATCAATCGATTATAAAGATAAAAATTTATAAAATAAAAGGACAAGATGAAAATATGAAAGATGCAAATATTCACAAAATGGTCCAAGATAAATATGATAATAAGCTTCCAAAAGAAGTCTAAATGTTTGAGAAAAATCAATAAATTTTGATAAATTATATCAATACAGGGAGAAAATATGATCGAAAAAATACATCTATTGATAAGATTTTTGCATATAATATTGTAATTGATATTATGAATGAAAATAAGAATCTTGAGCCTAAATTATTAAAGAATGTCCACATAAAGATGATTGGCCTAAATAAGAAGAGCAATCCAACTAAAATTATGTTCTCTTACAAAAGAGTAATTTTTTGAACCCATAGTTAAAACATCCGAAGATGTTAAGTCGTGGGATACAAATGTATATTTATGCGAACACGAAATAAGAAAGATGAGATTGTAAAATACAAAGCAAAACTTTTAACACAAAAGTTTTCATAAATAATTGACATTGACTATGAGGAGACATATTCTCATTTAATTGATGCAATTATCTTTTGTTATCTCATTAGCCTAGAAAAATGTATGAAAAATACTCATATGTATACATTTAATGAATGTGATCACAGCTTTATTTGTTTATTTGAAATGATATCAATATAAAAGTCTTAGAAGGACTTAACATGTCGAAGCATGTAATACATATTCTTGAGAAAAGAATTCAATTAAATTATAGAGATCTCTATTAGTATTTATTTTATTATTTTAGTTCTTAGAAATTCGATTTATATTATACTTTTTTATATTTTATTTTTACATCTATTGTTTATTAATAACCCGTATGCATGTGATATAATCACTTCAATGATTATTTATTGAAAGAAAGTTATAAAAAATAACTCTATCTCGTTCATATATTTTTATTTGAAAAGGGACTTGTTGTATATGTTGATAACTTAAACATTATTGAAACTCCCGAAGAGATTCTAAGCTTCATAAGTTATCTAACAAGAGAATTTGATGTGAATACCTAGGAAAAACAAAATGTTATCTCGACCTGCAGTTCGAGCACTTAGAGAAAGAGATTTTTATTCATCGATCAATTCACATAGAAAAAGTTCTACAATGATTCTATATAAAGATCATTCATTGATTAGTCTAATGGTAGTTCATTTACTTGATATCTAAAAAGACCTTTTTCAACCTCGAGAAGATAACGAATAACTACTTGGTCTTGAAGTATCATATCTCGGTCTATTGATGTATTGATATATCTTACTTAATACTACTCGATCCGATATAATATGTTCTATAAATTTATTAGCAAGTCATAGTTTTGCTTCAATACGGAGACATTAAAATAAAGTTAAATATATACTACATTGTCTTCGAGGAATAATTGATATGGGCTTATATTACTCCAATAAATCAAAGACAGGATTAATTAGTTATGCATATGCGAGTTAATTATCTTATCTACTCAAAGCTCGATCACAACTCGGTTATATATTTATATATAAAGATACAACTATATCTTGGCTTTCTACGAAGCAAACCATAGCTACCACATCTTCAAATCATGCGTAAATATCAATTCATGAGGCAAGTCGAGAATGTGTTTGGCTAAGATCAACGGTCCATCATATCGGAGAGACATGCGGTTTATCTATCAGCAAAAGAAGTTCTAACAATATTATACGAGGATAATGATACTTGCATAATTTCATTAAAGGAAGAAACACATCAAAGTGATAATCCAACAAATTTATTCGCTAAAGCATTACCTACCATAACTTTTGAGAAGATGATTCACAAGATTGAAATACATTGTCTTAGAGATCTCGGATGATGTTTTCAATAGGGGAGGTCAACTTTGAGATTAATGTGTACAAGAAATATTATACTCTTTTTTCGTCATCGAGATTTTTTTTCACTAGGTTTTTTCTTAGTAAGGTTTTAACAATGTATATTTCTTATACAATGGACATTCAAGGGGAATGTTATGAAATAATAAATGTCCATCATCATATTCATCTACTTTTCATATCCTCACTACTCATGATTCTTAATATAATTCAATTAATCATTTAATATGAGAAATTAAAAGGGTGATGCAATTGATTATTCATAGTCTCTTCCAATTCCCTTCTCAATTTTGAAGCTTGTAAATAGGCTTGATTATTCATTAGTTAGGGTACAAGTTTTATAGAGAGAATAAGAGAAACTTTGAAGTTCTTATCACTTTTATTCACATCATAGTGATTTCATTTTCTTCAATTCTCCTATTATTTTTATTTATTTGATAACAAATTGGTATAATTGAGAAAATTAACATATTAATAAAAATAAATTAAAGCTTATATACTTAGTGGAGAAAAATGACTATTATGTAAAAGAAAACAGGAAACATGAAAGAAAAAGGAATCAATTGATAAAGATGAAAAGAAAGCATTTTAGTTAGCGATGGCAATGGATCGGGTATAAAACGGATATTTATTTTATTCGATCCAATAAATACTCGTTAAAAGTATTCAATGAGTATTGAAATGGACAAGGATAAAAAATACATACACATTAATATGATTTTAAGATATGAATACTTACTATTTACCTTATCAATACCCACTGATTTATTTAGACTTTTTATTAACATACATGGATCTAATTATATAAAAATTAAAAATTAAGGATAATTTTTTTTCCAAAAATTTTAGGACCTAAATACTTATAAATAAATGACCAATTTTTTTTTAAATACATTTTAAGGATCAAAATCTTAAAAATCATAGAAACTAAAATAAATATTTTTGACAAATTAAATTTAAAGTGTATTAAATTGGTCGTTAAACTAATATAGATTTGGTATTAGTTAGGTAAAGATTTATATTATCATTTTTTAATAAAAATCAATAAAGTATATTTTTTTTATGAGTAAGATAGAAACTAAATTAATGGATCGGATATCTACTCATTGTCATTTCTAATTTTAGTAAAAGTTTAGTGTATTCAAATGAAGAAAATTAAATTTCATGAATTTGATAGATAAAAAAATCAAAAGTAACATACCCATAATGTAATTATTCCGGTCATTAACGTATAATAATGGCAATTAAATTAAATTCATTAAAATCTATCAAAAGACTTTCACAAAAACTTTTAAAAGAAACTTTTAAAAATCGATCAAAGAGACTTTTAAAAGAAAAAAATGACAATGAGAATCAAAACTAAAAAAATCAATCGTATTCTGCACGTTGTAAAGAAGCCAATCTCAACAACATTGACGTGGACCACTAATTTAAAGCCCTAGTGACTATGACGTTTTCTTATTTAATTGGCTCAAGCTATCTTCATCTGTACACACGGCACCACCGTATCAATATCAAGCCATGGTGCAAAACTGCACAACCTCGGCATGTAAATCGAAGAATCAAAGATTTACTTGCCTTAAAATTTCCACCTTACCAAAATACATACGGGTGACTCGACTAGACCAATGAAATCCCTCCACCTGGCGAAACACCACAAAGAAAGCGAGTAGGTTTCAAAAGGTACTCGAGAGGGTAGATATAGGTAAATATTTGCAAAGTATGTCACGTGTTACTTCCATGTTTGTCTCGTTCTCCTACTACTCACTAGTCTCCATAAAACCCTGTACCCACCTAAACGAAGAATCAGACATAACTCAAAGCTCTTGAAGCTCTCTTTCAATCGCTAAATTATGGCTGCTTCTAAGGTTTCGCTATGGTCCTGTGTATTCCTCTTCTCTCTAGTTGTAGCGCTTTCTGCTGGAGAGGATGAATCAAAGGAGTACGTGCTGACTCTAGATCACTCCAATTTTACTGAAACCGTTTCCAAGCACGATCTCATCGTTGTCGAATTCTACGCTCCTTGGTACACACTGCATTCCAATTCTCTCTGTTCATTTTTTCTTAGTTCTTTCACTTAATTTGATCTCGGTTTTTCCTTTTTGTTTTGTTTTGTGTTTTTTAAACCTGGTTAATTGTGTTTGCTCTTGTTTGGATCTCGTTTTTCTATGCATCATCATATATCCTCGATCTGCTGTTGGATCTAGTAATTGGTTGAATTTATTTTTAATTACTGTTTTATCTGTCGGATTGAAGTTTGGAATTATGAGTGCAACTGAGTGACTGTTTTAGTTTTGTTTAAGTTTTGACGACGAGTTGAACTTTTATGAATCTGGGATCTAAAACTGATAGTTATTTTGTATTTTTTGTGGCTGTTGATGTATTTTTAAAAGTCTGATTGTATTAAAATTTGAAATTTTTAGTGGAATTTTACTTGGATCAGAGTTCTGATCTGTTGTGTTTTACCACAGGTGTGGGCACTGTAAGAAGCTTGCTCCAGAGGTAATGAGTTTTTCTTTTTCTTTTTTTACTTATCTAATCACTTGTTATTAAGATTTATGTGATTGTTTGCATGTTCAGCTGATAATGTCAATTTCTTTTTAGTATGAGAAAGCTGCTTCTGTACTGAGCAGTAACGATCCTCAAGTTATTCTTGCGAAAGTTGATGCGAATGAGGATGGTAACAAAGAGATCGCTAACCAATATGAGGTCAAGGGATTCCCCACTATTAAAATCTTGAGAAATGGAGGGAAGTCTGTTCAAGAATACAAAGGCCCTCGTGAGGCAGATGGCATTGTCGAGTATCTGAAGAAACAAAGCGGTCCTGCTTCTGCTGAATTAAAATCAGTTGATGATGCTACCAGTCTCATCGGTGACAAGAAAGTAGTAATTGTAAGTACACCTTTTGTTTGCTTTTACATCTTTTTTTTTTTTTTTTTTTGCATGTGTGATTCTGCCAAAATTCGCATGTGAACTGTTTTCTTTATGGTTTTGAAGGTTGGGGTGTTCCCAAAATTCTCTGGAGAGGAGTATGAGAACTTTTTGGCTGTTGCCGATAAACGACGTTCTGACTATGAATTTGGCCATACTTTGGATGCTAAGCACCTTCCACGTGGGGAATCATCAGTATCTGGACCCCTAGTTAGATTGTTCAAGCCATTTGATGAACTCTTTGTTGATTCTAAGGTATTAATCTATCTTTAGTGGGTTTCATGTTAAATTCTCTATGCTATTTCAGAGTTAAAGTTTCTTGTGTGTTGTATCTATGTTTTCAACAATGTCCTGTGAATCAATTGTTTCTTCTAACAAAGCTACATGCTTGCAGGACTTTAATGTGGATGCACTTGAGAAGTTTATTGAGGAGTCTAGCGTACCCACTGTGACTGTCTTCAATAATGACCCAAACAATCACGCTTTTGTTGTCAAATATTTTGACAGCCCCCTTGCCAAGGTATAAGATATGAAATCTTAATGTTTTCATTTTTTGATAGTTGACAAAGCGAATGCGTAAAATTTACCAAATTACAAGATAATTTAACCATTGATGCATTTAGGATAGTTGGTTTAGGTAATTCCTTTCCATTACATTACTTTCACCTTTGTTTTCTGGATTGTTTCGGAAGGGAAATGGATAGCTTGAGCCATAATGTACTTGATTCCAGATTTTCCTTTACTGTGTAGAACAATAACTTAGAAGAAGAGAAAAAGAACTTTTCTGAGAAGTTTTCAAATCATTTTTGTCCATCCTGTTATAATGTGCTCAATTTTAGATTCTACTTTGCATCCCTTCATGAAATAGCAGTGCATCATGCAATGCCCAACAAATACAATAAGGTCTTTTCCTTATTATTCTATGCATTAAAATTTCACTTAAACTCCTTTTGGAACAAAACTGGCTGGTTTATCCTATGAATTGTTACAGACTTTTGTTTGTGTCTTCTTTTATCATATATTATGGATCTTCTAAAAACCTGATTGACAATTGCAGGCAATGTTGTTTGTGAACTTCAGCGGTGAAAGTGCTGATTCCATTAAAACTAAGTATCAAGAAGTTGCTGAACAACACAAAGGAGATGGTTTAGTCTTTTTGTTGGGAGACCTTGAGGCCAGTCAAGGTGCCCTACAGGTTAGTGAGTCTTCTTTTACATGTACAGTTGTGCATTTTTTACTCAATACTTTCTTTTTAATCTTTAAATTGTTGGAATGGATGTACAGTATTTTGGACTCAGAGAGGACCAAGTGCCTCTTCTCATCATACAGACTACTGATGGAACGAAATACTTGAAGCCAAACTTGGAGTCTGATCAAATTGCTCCTTGGGTGAAGGATTACAAGGTGATGTCAATGTCTTAATATTCACCCTGAAATGCTCAAGTACAAGTTGCTCTGTTTTTGAGTTGGTTTATGATGGTACTCATTTTCCAGTCATAGGACAGCAAGCCAGAGGTTTCTGTCTGTGTTTGTCTTTATTTATGGAAAACCTTATTGGAACTTATGAAAATTATTGAAATACTCTGTGCAGGAAGGAAAAGTACCACCATTTACTAAATCTGAACCTATCCCGGAAGCTAACGATGAGCCAGTGAAAGTTGTGGTTGCTGACAGCCTTGATGACATGGTTACCAAATCTGGAAAAAATGGTGTGTAGATCTGCAGTTTTGTAGGATTCATCAGTTCTTTCTTCACTGTACTGTTATATTGGTGTGCATTGCAATGTGTGCTTTCTTGATGGTTCCATTTTATATCGTCATCTCTGTTTATTTTAATGATGTGTAGGTGCCTTCCTTATACTTTTTATTTCTTCTCTAGATTCTAGTATTCATTAATTCTTTCCTCGCTGTATTTAAAGATTAGCATGCATTGGTGCTTTCATGATGGTTCCACTGAATGGCATCGTTTCTGTTTATTTTTAGTAAATCTGAGTGCTGTCTGTGTACTTTTTGTCTCTTTGCCAGATTCTATCTGTTCTTTACACTCGTCTTTTAGGAAAACCCCATCCATCCTTTCTAGCCCATTTTGTATTCTGGTTTGTGTTCTTTCTCAAGAGTAAGATATGTTCAGTAACTTTAGTTATGTTTTGTGGCTCTTAGCTTTTCTTAATTTGATTGATTTGGTCGCAAAGGTGTAACTTAGTGCAGGGGTCCTAATCATTGTACTCATTTTCCTTTTCGTATTCTTTCCTTTTACTCGGGGTTAATCCCCTGGTAAGAGGGGAGATCAGATTTTCCTTTTTATTGTTTTGTCTCATGCATATCAGATGATCCCACACCCACACCGCCCTTTTCTCTTCTTCCTTCTTTAAGCGATAAGAAGCATTATGATGTTTTCTGTCCTATCTTCTATAGTTTTAGTTCATCTTTTAACCTGAGGGGATTCTTGACTTCCGTATAATGTGGCGGCATGTCTTCTTTGCAGTCCTTTTGGAGTTTTATGCCCCTTGGTGCGGTCACTGTCAAAAATTGGCTCCAATCTTAGACGAAGTTGCTGTCTCATATCAAAATGATGCTGATGTTCTTATTGCAAAGCTTGTAAGTTTTGTTCATCTCCTGTCTGAAGAAATGCATGTTATGCTTTTAATTGTTGACCAAGTGTAAGATAACACAATATCACATATCAACTTACTCTGTGGTGTATATATCCACATTAGTACATAGATGCCTTGGGGTCAATACAGTGATTAGCTGCTTCCTGTTTTGTTATTTTCTTAGATTCTGTTCTTCATTTGGTTTCTACTTTTTTGCTTAAGAAATCACTTCTTCCTATACCCATATCACATATTTATTGATTCTGTGGTGTATCATTTTTTCTTGAAATTTAGAATATTGTTTTGTCACTGTAATTAACACTTGAAAAAGAAAGCCACTTATCTATCTCTTAACTATTGATGCAACTAATTTCTTGTGGAACCTGTTGTAGGACGCAACTGCAAATGATATTCCAGGTGATGCTTACGACGTCAAAGGATTCCCCACTGTTTACTTTAGGTCCGCTGGTGGAAAGTTGGTGCAGTATGAAGGAGACAGGACCAAGCAAGACATCATTGATTTCATTGAGAAGAACCGGGATAAAGCTGTCCAACAAGAGCCAGCGAAGGAGCAAGAGCCAGCAAGGAGCAAGCCAGCAAAGATGAGCTTTGAAAAAACATGCTTAGCTATGTAGAATTTTGGGCATAGTTTTTAGGGCAGCAAGAGCCAGCAAAAGATGAGCTTTGAAAAAAACATGCTTAGTTATGTAGCAATTTTGGGCATAGTTTATTAGAGTCCTGAATAATCACTTGGATGGTGTACTAAGATTGCATGGTTAGGGAAAAAGAACGGTTGTAAGTTAAAGTGAGTTATTAACCAGTCCTACTGGGTTCTGTAAGTTCCTTTTCTGTTGTTTTTGGTTTTGTGCCGAGCAGTAGAAATTTTACTCTGCCTTTTAAGATTCTTAGCACGGATTCACAGAGGGACCGAATTTTGATGTTCCTTATTCTTTCCAAACTGTACTCTCTCACGTGAGAGATCGGAGTGGATTGTGGCAGAAGAGTCTTACCATCGTTGGGTCATGGTGTAGGTACAATGGGCTTCTCTACGATCCCATGTGTGTACAGTAATCACCGTTCCATAACGATTAGCCGAAAGAAATGGTGATCGAGGCCTGCAGAGAACGGGGATGCTTAATATTAGTTTAGATGTATTTTTGGGTGAAAGTATCATCCTCCTGGTCGTGTGGAATTGAACCATGCAGAGCACGCTTGAGGGTGCATAGCAGTTCTCATATTGTCGTCGCTAGAAATTTTATAATACATAAAAGGATAATTAGTGATATGTATATTAATTATTTCATGATTTAATTTGAGGAGAGATATATGCATGAAAAAAGGAGAGAATTAAAAAAAATTGAATTAACGTGAAAATCTTCTTATCATTTTTGATTAGTCCGGATGTAATTTAACGTGCCTATCTCGTATCTCATTTTTTATGAATTCGGATATAATTTAACTAATGGTATACATAATAGTTACTCTATGAATTTATTTTTACAAAGTTGTTCAAATGTTTGTTCATAATGAAAAAGTGTACAAGAATAGAAAAATTGTACTTAAAAAAATTGACATGCTATGTATATATCACAAAGTTACATGACCATTACTTTAGATAATTTATCACTTGTGACATCTTTTTGTATATCATCAATAGTCAAGTATACCATTGGTTCTTAAATAAAAATTTACAGTAATCTAAAATAAAACATTTAATTCAAAATCTTAAAAAAAATACCTTGATATTTTTTCATAAGATTGCAACAAAAAAATTAAACAAAAATTAATATAAAAATTGTATAAAAAATAACAAGTAATTATTTTTCATTATTATTTAATGAAGAGAAGATTATTATTATTATTATATATGTGTGTGTGATTTATATATATTTATTCACAAAACAATCAATAATACAAGTATAAAAAGTTGTATTGGAATCATTAGGTGGTTCTCCTAAAAAATTATTTCGATTATTTTATTTGAAGGAAATTAGTTTTAGAGTATTAAAACAAAAAACATTAATAGCAAATGATCAATAATCTAAGTTTTTTTTTATGTGTTATGATCATATTTAGTGATTTCGAAGGTGCAGCATAAATAAAAAAATATTAAAAGAATTAAGTTTCAAAGAATATATTAAATTTAATAGACTAAAATAAAAATAACTACAAAATCGATCTTAGTAAATTTTGATTGTCTAAAGAAGAAGGAAATAAAACCCGTGAAATTTTTTAATTAATGATTTATTTTTATTTTTAAAAAAGTTTAAGACAGATTATTCGAAATACACTTTTATCTTTTTAATATTCTCATTTAAAAATCATAAGAATCCATCATATAAATTATATCGATATATATATATATATATATATATATATATATTTAAATAAAATAATCATATTCTAAAATTTTATTCAAAAATCTATGCATAGAGAAAACAAATCATATTTATTAACAAATAAAATTATATAAAACAGAAAAATAATTTTATGAGAATTTTCATAAGAAACGATAGATTGAAGAAATCAATTTTAAACAATAAGAGTAATGTATATATATGTGTGTGTTTGTGTGTTTTAAAATTTAAAAACATATCATATATAATTCATCATTGTCAATTCATGTGAAAAAAATAACAATTGTTGTTTTATAACCTTTACACCTAATTCAATAATAAAAAGACATTTTAGCAAAGAAGAAGAAGCAAGTCTACATGCTTGAGCTTTTAGAAGAAGACCCTCGCACCCATCTGCAACTTTGGGCGAACTCAAGTTCATAAAAAATGTGGTTGAAATCATTGCTAAAAAATCAAGGGTCTAGTTTTAGACTTCCAAAAAACCTATTTTTGATTTCATTTTTGCTCTAAACACATCTCAAAATCATTGAAATATGGTTAATACACTCATTTTAAATCTTAAAAAGCATTTTCAATGCACATTGAAAAAAAAATCCAAATCAGATCAAAAAATTAAAAAAATTTTATGCTTCAACTATTTTATGACTTGAAACTATCATAAATACTCTCTCATTGTCAAAATAAATAATACGAATGCAAGCTCGTCGACAAAATGATTCAGAATCGGACGCGACCGTGGCTTTTTCTCTCTTTGTTTTTTTTCTTTTTGTATCCAAAGACTAATCTATGACACAAATAAAGTTGAAAACTAATAAAATCGTTTAAAAATATTAGGAATCAAAGTACAATATACCGTAAAAATCACATATAAATGTCTAAAAGAAGTCTAAAAATTATAAAATACCACTATACAGTAAAAATGCATAGTTCACGCGAGTCTAAATAACTAGTATAATTAAGCGTAGATGAATAGTCTAAGTAATAATAAACCCTTCAACTATCAGAGTTGCCAATAATATATTGGCCATTTCTCAAAAATTCAGTACCAGGAGAAAACGTAGGAGAAGACATGCTATAAACTCCTACCTCATCTGATCTCAACTCCGTTTAAACGCTCAAAATTCAACCGTACGATATTCAATACTACTGGTTCATCTCCATGATGATAAAAATAAAAAATAATTAAACGGTCCGTGTAATATGGGCCATTGAACCGTATACGTATTAGATGCCACGTCAACATTCAAATTTATATTGGGCTGGGCCAAAAATCAAAGTAAGCGAAATACCACAGCCCTGGTTGACATTGCAGTGGCCTGTAAAATTAGTTAAACAAAAATTTACAAAGAAATAATTAGTGGGTCATTCGCGTACGTGGATTGTTTCCGGAATCCACCGTTATATTATTAATGGGTTCCATTTTCATGTAAATGGAATGGCAATAATAATCAATCAAATTTAATTCTAAAAAAATCAATCAAATTTATCAATCCACCTAACTTATGTAATGGGTATGGATTATAGGCAGATCAATGTGCAGCATACTATGCGTAAAGGGAATTAATATGCTGATTTCCTGGTCAAATTGGATTTTCGTGAATCTAATCTTGATATGATTTGATCGGCTTGTTGGCTCAGTTTTGGTTCGTGTGCAGTTTCTTTCCTTTTCTTCTTCAGCGTATATATATATAAAATAACCACACGAACCAAAACTGAGCCAACAAACATCGCCTGGCAGCAGGAGACGCAAACTCGGTGGAGTGGCCAATCAAATCACATCGAGATTAGATTCATAAAACTCCAATTTAACAAGAGAAATCAGCATATTAATTTCCTTCACGCATAGTATGCTGTACATTGATCTGCCTATAATTCATATATACCCATTGCATAAGTTAGGTGAAGTAAATTTAATCTATGTACATATATTTCCACGCCGGCTAGTAGTAAAAATAAATAAAAAAGGAATTTTGTGAGGTCCGTTTTGTCATTTTCTCTTTCTTTCTTTTTTTGTTCTTCCAGTGTTCTTCTAGATGGCTACGGAAATGGAGTTTCCATTGCAGCAATATACTTGCACTTGCAAGTACACCGTCTCCGATGCTCAAATTGTGGGAAGAAAACATAGAGCTCGTTTGATATGTTATGAATTGCACGTGAATGTGATTAGTAGGATAATAAAATTCTCTTGATCATATTATCCGATAAAACACTGAGCCAAGATCTGTGCCACACGCTAGATATATAGTAATCCATTTATGAGAAAATAGGTTATATATCTCTTAATATTATTAGTCCAATTTCTATACAACAGCTAATCCTTTCATTTTAGGTCTTCTGTCCGCAAGCTCTGGAGACAATGCCTTCCTCTTGCTAACATTGTTGCTGTTGCTCTTGTTGCTAACAGTGATGTTCTTGCTGTCAGTATTAAAATTGTTGTCGATTCTTTTGCAAGAGTGGTCAAGCGATTTTAGAAGGTGAGGCTGAAGTTTTTCCACATCTGATAATTGAAGCGGCTTCAATAAGAACTCCTCCGCTCCTTCTTCCAAGCACCTAGAAGGAAAGATATACATACATACATGTATATATAACATTTTAGATCGATGCTACATGTTTTCCTTCTTGTTGATCAGAAATGAAAAATTAAAGGGATTATAAGAAAGTTACTGTTACATTCTAATTCTAGAAGGTACATTCTCTGATGACATTATCACCACTGGAACATCTTTCCAATAAGATCCCTGCAGATGTAAGCAAAAAGTTAATTAGTATTTAACTGATCAATACGATTCTTTGCGAGAAAATTGTTAGTAGAAGTTAGCATCTACACCTTGCGCGATCTGTGACCCAATTGCTATTGATATTTATTTCCAGTCATGCATGGTAAGGTTGCATTGTTGATTTACAGTATCTTTCATTTTGCATACATAATGCTTGACATTATTATAGTAATGAAATAAAGACACACGAGAAGAGATGGAAGGGAATTCAGAGAGGATATGGTGACATACCTTGACTCGTTTGAGTAAATCATAACCGCTCATTCCAGGCATGCAATAGTCTGTCATGATCAAATTTACTTTCATTCCCTGGATTTAATTCAAAAGAAAAGGAAAGCACGGTACGAACATTAATTTGTTGTACCAAATAAAAATTAATGAAAATAAAAGGAGAGAGAAAAAATGTCACCGTGTAGCATTAGGGATCCGTAAATTTCAACGGTTCCCGATTTCTAGAGAGAGTTTTAATGCATGGCTCAAAACTCAAAATGAGCCATTGACGGGAAAAAAAAAAGAGAGAGAGCAATTAATGAAAAGATGGGAAAAAAACAGTAAGAAACTTTAGAATGTAGCTCGTTTCACTTTATAATTAAGAGTAGCCATATGTCCATACGTGCTTAGCGCACACTATTAGACTATAGTCATCAATTAATTCTAGGTCCACACACACACACATATATATATATCCAAGTTAAGTACAGCAAAAGCTCAGCTCCATCTCTTCTTCGCGTTTGTTCCGGGTTATCGAGTAAACACGGCATTAATAGAAGCTGTAGTGAACACTTGCGAGTGTGACACATGTGATCTTTAATTACTTGCATAAATTTTGAAAGACGACACTCCTGAAAATTATGTAGTGTTAAAGTTTAGCGTCATGATTTACTAATAAAATGTACACTTTTTATTTTCGGTAAGGTAATCACCTATCCCTTCCACAACTAGCATCCAGATCCTAACAAAGCTAATTTCTGAATATCTCTTCTGGTTAACTAGCGATGAATTCGCTATAAAAGACTAGCGATTTTAAGAATCGATTTGAATTTCATAAATATTTCGCTTGAAATATATGAAGTCGTCGTAACACTGTAATAATTATGGAGAAGCACTTAAGAAAAGCATTGTGAACACTAACTTTAAAAAGTCAGATGAATTTGCATGAAAGCTAAAATCTAAGAGGTCAGATTTTCATTCAAGGGATGAAGTAGTCCTGGTTCCAACAAAAATAAATACAGCTACACGTGTATATAAATACTATGTCTTGATCGTATTTACTATATACTCCACTCAATGTGATAATATATACTAAGTGGATCTTTATTTCCCTCAAGGAATCAGATTACATGAAATCAGGAAGGGAGGGAGAGAAATCAGAGCTTGAGTAAGACAACCTTACCTCTTGTTGTGGTGACTGTGGGGGAGAGGAAGAAGAAGAGGTTGCATTGACATTGTCTATGCTATTAAGGAGACCTAAATATTCCAGAGCTTTATCCCCGGAGTCCACAAAAGTCACTGCAACGAAAGAAACAACAATGTTAACAGAAATCCACAGTGTCTTCAAGAGAGATGAAACTACTCAATTAGCCAAATAATTGATTAGAAGTTTGGTTAAAAACACAAAACCCATATTGATGGTACTACTATAAGTTGTCGAACAAACTCAGTGCTCTCTCTCTTTCTCTCCCAAAAGCGTTCGAGAGAAGGTTTATTAATTCCATGAATACGTAACCTTGGTAAGAAGATACTTTAAGCAGCCTTTCTAAAAGCTTCCTATCAATAAGACTATCGTCCACTGCCAAGACATGAAAATGTTCAGCTTCTTCCTCCGTTTGTTGCTCGTGTTTCTCTTCTTCCTGTTGTTGTGTATCTACAGCACCTGATTCCATTATCTCCATTTATGGTCAAAATAAAAGAATATTAGACCTCTATCTAAGCTCTTCTAGTTTTCAGTTGCTGGTGGCTACTCTTCGCATCACCATATACGTGTATGAATATAGCTATAATGGTTGTGGAGAGAAAGAGAGGCTGGAGGAGTTGGCGGTGAGAATGAGGAGTTTGTGTGCCGTAGGTTTTATTAAGTAGGTAAGGCTGGAGCAACTGTACATGTTTTTGCAGGGGAAGGAATAATGGACTGATGTTATTCATTGTTTATGTTTTTATATGGGTGTGTTTTTCCGCCATGATCTCTCTGGATTCTCTATTCCGTGTTGGTATAACCACTCATATCTCTCATCCTTTTTTTCTTGCATTGGATTTTGTTTGATTGCTAAGGAAAATCCACACAAGATCTTAATTTGTTCCCATTTGGCCACGCTATAGGGTAAAAAGGAGGTTTGGTTTTAGTTGGATTGTATTCAAGACTTTGAAAAATGCGGTTTAACTAATTAAACTACAACTATTGCTAAACATCTCTCTCTCTCTCTCTCTCTCTCTCTTATTTATTTTTTTATTTTTTTTGTAATTGCTCGAAACGTAATCGACATTGTTTTGCATGCTGCTCTTGGTTGGATAGTTTGATTGATGGGGCAATCTGTTCCGACTAATCAACAGTACGATGTGACTGATGGGTGAAGGTCCTGAAGGAGCAGGGAAAATTCTTTGGGCGTTCGGCCCATCCGCTTCCTGAGGATGAGTATGTAAGCATATTGGGATAACTACAAAACAGTCCTCAAACTATATACTTATAACAGTTTATTCCAACATTCAAATCTTTCGTTCTCCTTATAGTTTCCTTGCCATAAAATTTAATTTATACAAATCAAGATGAATAAGGAAAGATATAAATTGAATATTTATTTTGTTAACTCAGAAAATAGTTATATCTCTTTTATCGTTTTAATGTGCATGTAATTTTACCCGTATAACAAACTTTGTCTAATAATTATATTTATTTGAAGAAATATATATATACACACACGCGCGCATATTCAATTGTGTTTAAATTTGAAGAAATTAAAATTACTAAAAGAGAAATAGATATTACTTATTCATTAATCAATATTATAGTACTTTATTCATAAAAGTGAATTTAATAAATATAATTTTGTGGCAAGAAAAAATGGTGGAAGATGAATTAGTTAGACAAAGATAGTATTGGGAGAGATTAACAAGATTTTAGAGTTTGGAAACTGATCTCTTCATAAAATACATGTTGGAGCCTAATTTATAGTCATTCTACATGTAATATTCTATGGAAATGACAAACAATTTTTTTTTTATTATCCTTGAAAAAACAATAATACTGTATCTCGTAGTTAGAAAATGATATAAAATGCAGGTCATGTATAGAGTATTTCTTATTTATAATTGTTATAATATTTTTTTAGTTTTAGGAGAAAAACTTATTATCGTGGTTAGTTAACAAAGCATTTTCATTGAACATGATTAGTGCTAAATAGAACGACAACAACTTGTTATCAGTATAAGTAATCACGGCCGAAAGCAAAAGTTAATTTCCAAAGGTTTTTTTTTTTTTTTTGTGAAATAAGAAATCGTTTACCCACCCATACAACTGCAACGGATTGACTCTAGCGAGACGTATTACAGTATCTAGGTATAGTTGCATGTAATGTGATAATTGACTAATTGAAAATTGCACTTGAAAAACTCTTCATAAACTAGTAAAGAGACGAGAGCCATATCATAAAACGGTATCCGTGACTCTGTAACTAATCATTTTTAAAGGGGGTGGACAATCGTCAACATCAAAGCCTATGCCTATGGTTTGTCTTGTCCAGCCCATATGCCTTGACTAGGCATAAAATATTCTTTTACAACTATTAAAAATAAAAATAAAAATTCTAAGATACAATCCACTAATTTCTAGCAAACGGAAATGTTGAACTGGTCTATTAGCTATCCGAAACGAAAGCAGCAAAAATATGCAGCTGTTATATCCCCGAGAGGGGGGGGGGGGGGGGTGGTATTTCATGGTTATGGTAAAAAGTTTTACTTTGAGCTTAATGATAAGCTGTATGGATTGATGTGAACGAGAGTTCACTGTATAAAATATTATATAAAGTCAATACCATAATTTCGTTTGTATAGGTAACCATCGTCTGATAAAGTCCAATAAAAAATTATAATATAAGTATGGAATAAATACTATTGTTGAATCATATAAGTTTTTTGTATTATATAATTGTTATTATCTTTTTATTTTATTTTATTTTTTTATTAATTTCTAACTTTTCTTCTTTTTTTTATGTAAATAAAAATTCAAAAGCAGTTACACTTAGATTTATTTTATATAAATGCATCAACTAGGATATAAAAACTTCATTTAAGATTTGACAAAGAAAAAATTAGTATAATTTATGACAAATGATTGAAAAATACCTTAATTATCGGAGAGGAAGAAGGAGCCATTGTTTAAGAAATATGGCAATTAAATTCGACTAACATCATCAATAAAGGTTAAGAGACAGTGCTGTGCACATACAGCCATTGACAAAAAAAAAAAAAAAAGTGTCAATCACTAATTGATTCTCAAATAAACATTAATTAGAAAAAGAAAACAAGAAATTTCTAGTCAAATTTCAAATGGAAATGGATTCTCTTTTTGTGTGACACTGGCTACGCAAAACCAACATAATTATTACAATTTTGAGTACTGAAAAGGGTATATAAGCTAGGGACCACGGTATGCATGGAATGTCGATCGATTTTTGCCAAGGAACACAGAATCAATCAATCTCTTGTAATAATAGTGAAGGGGACATAAAATAAATAAAGGGCCCTAAAAGAGGACCCACAGAGAGCAGATTTTTGAAAATCTTTGGTGGGCCTTCGCAAATATAATCTTTTGCGGGACCCAATTTCCTCTGCTCTAAATCTTCCCTAATTTCGAATCTGTCTCCATCGGGGGTGTCCAAAGTAGAAAGTTATCTTTTGAGGAGGGGTCAGTCAATTTAATTATTTTTTTTCACACTCGAGTATTGTGGGACCCTATTAATGTCTGCCACATATTGCCCACTCCGTATCTGTTAAAGCAGAATGCAGTGGAGTTGACGGGGGGAACACGAATCGTCAGATCACGTCACTGTCATGTAGGCTCACGTTCTAGGTTCTATTTCATTTTTTTCCGGTAATATATATGTATGAATATGCCATGGTATAATATTTAAAGTTTTCTTCCTGTTTTTAAATTTTTAATTATATTTTATCTGTTTTAATTTTTTAAAAATATTTAATATTTTTTTAATCAAATTTTTTGATTATATAAATTTTTAACCGAAATATATCGTTTACTAAAATAAAAAAAAACACTTAAATCACATAGCATGCATGTTTTGTTTTTTAAGTTTTTAAATTTTTTTTCATTTTAATTAAGAATATTTTGATAAAAAAGATTACATCACTGAAAAAATTGATAAAAATGACATATTAAATATTTCAAATACTTTTAGAAGCAAAAGATATATAATTAGAAATGTAAAAATATATAAAACACTTTTAAGTTTTGTCAAATGCTCATTTCAATCCAAAAATTTAAGATGTTAGATGAGGCCTTAAGATGTAATTTATATCGACTCATATTATCTTATGCTTAATTAATTAGAAGAGAAAACGAGGATGATAGAATTCGAATTCTTAATCATTCGATTAGCAAGACTCTAATATTATGTCAAAAAAATCATTTTATTTCAAAAATTTAAATTGTTAAATAAGACCTAATGATATAATTTATATTATTATCTAATAAATATTATCTAAAAACATATGCATATATTTATTCTATAAAAAAATTAAACATAACTATTCAATTTAATTTAATGAAGATATAGATTTTTAGTTCAGTGGTAGTGATATATTTACATTCATAATAGCTTACTAGTTTCAATTTTTTTCTTTTGAAGTATTAGAGGTTAAAAAAATTCTCATTATAAATAAATTAAAATAATTTATAATTTTTATAATCATAATCAATTCAGTTGCTGGTAATAATAACTATTAAATTCGGTGAGGCAACAGAAAGCTAACTCTCCTTCTTCGTTGCACTCAATTTTGCCAAACTCTTACCGTAGGCCGTCCTCCTATATCTGCAAGCTCTCTCACGCACAAGAACGGTGGAGAAAGCAACTCCTATGAGTGAGTCCTGACTAGGGATCTTCGTTTCTTTGCACTCTTCGAGAACTTAGCTCAAAACTCTATGACATATAAATGCCTCTCAGATCAGAATTAGATTGATCTTGCAATTCAATTTAAAAATGACCAAATTTCTACGTGACGTATACTGAGGATTTATTTGATATTATTGCATTGCGATATTCGGTGATGCGATGTTAAAAATAATAATAATAATAATAATTGATCAACGTATTGTATTTACAAATATGCAGTAATTAAGCAACGTTTTAGTCAAAATCCGTTGTTATCCTTTTGACATGTAGAATGACTAACAAGTACTGTAATATACTGAAAATAATTTAATAAATAAATTTTATTTAAACTTAATGATTTATAACTTTTTAATTTTACATGTTAGATTAATGTAAGCATTTTTTTATATTAAAGTATTTTTTAAATTCAAGAGATAAAAAGTGTAATAACACTCACGTATCATTTCAATAATAATAAAAAAAATCAATGGTATAGAGAAAAAAGATTTTTTTTTGAGCATTGTTATTTTTATTTTTTTGAACCCGAGTTACATAAAAAACTAAAATTTTTGGTACGTGTGTAATTTTTAAAATAACTAATGGAGAAATTTGTAATTCTAATTAGAAAAAAATATACCCACGAAAAGCTAATGGGATTCTGGTTAAAAGTAGAGGTATCATGCTTTATTTCAAAAAAAAAAAACTTTTTAAATAACAAGTGTTTTGCTTTAAAAATATAATAGCTATTAACCACAAATGCTTTTTTAGATTAAAAAAATAGCTAAAAACAGTTTAACTCAAACATTAATAAACAGTCACTTCAAATTAACGGGAATTAATTACAAAATAAATGGAGGAGTTTTGTTTTCAGGTACCAATAGGAAAGTCACCATATAGGTAGTCGGATAGTGTGCTCGAATATATATATTTTTTGCCTAGTACAATTCTTCATCACGCTTCTCGGCGGACACTGCACAGGTGATAATAACAAGCCAAACTGTATGAGAACCTAAAAATGTCGTACAAGGATTAGCGCTCCAAGCTAGGAAGGATCTGCTTGACAGCCTGCAAATCTTTGCAAATGAGAAAAGATATAGAAAAAAAAAAAATCTGCCATGCCACGCCAGTCGTACAAGGAAACAGCATTACCCCAAGACATATTGGCTTTGTGAGTACACGGGTAATTACATGTACAGAATCGTGCAACTTGAGAAATCATCTCTCTCGTCAAATCTTATTATCTTTTTCTTTTGTCCAAAAGCAAAGCGTGTTTGTTGGTTATTTTCTTCTTTGCACAGATCCATTTGGGAGCAAAGTACTGCGGTTTTTAGTTACTTGGACTTGAAAACCAAAATGGGGTCGTTTTCTCTCACTAAATTCAGGATCTTCTTGACTGATCTTACCTTAATCAGGTCACCAAAAATCAAACAAGAGATTTCACTAGATCTAGCTACTGGCCCCACTTTAATTTGAGTCTCCTTACTATCAAATTCTATGCTTTTGTATTGATTTGGCAGAAATTTCCTAAGGGATGGCCCACGCAAACTTTGCTTTTTTCGTCAGTTAAAAAGAATTGATTGACTTCACATTGAAGACTCTCATTATTCAATAGGAAATAATGAGCCGATCTTAAGACTTTTTCATGACTATAACAATTTCAGCTGTATTTGATAGGCATTTATATTGTATTTAAATCTGACCCAAAGTTCATGGTGTGGAATTCAATTGGATTGGGGCCTACCGTAGCGTTAGGAAATGGGAAAACGTATCCAAACAATTTTATTTTTTAGAGTTGCTACTTGCGGTTGTCGGCGTTTCTTGCGAAACATGCCACTTCGTTATGATGCAAGATTCAGCTGTCAACAGTCACATGGTAGCTCCAGCCAATCCATCCAAAGAAAGCTAGACAACGTGAATTAAAACTGTTAGTTTGGCTGAAATATGATCATGTTACTATTTAAGGCTGCATGGCAGTAGAGCTCCCGAGTTTTTCTAGCATAGGGCCACCAGCGCCTTGTCACATCAGTATCTAGCTTCTTGCACACAAAACTGTGCTTTTATTTATATATTTATATACTAAGCAATGTGGACCATTCCAAGAAAATTAACTTACGAAGAAAGAAGATCATTGGTTTAAATAAATAATTTTATATTTAAATTTTTATATATATAATTTTTTTTGAATAACTATATTTATTTTGTATATTCAACATAATAATATTAAAATATCTAACTTTTTTAAAGTGAGATATTTTTTAAAAAAAAACAAAGAACATGGATTTTTTAGTTGAGAAACCCATTAGTTTTATGGCAGGTGGTCCCTGGGTCCACAATCAATTTTTGGAGTCCTGATCTCTATCAGCTGGTTTTGGTATTGCTAATAACGGTAGGATTATATTGGACGGTTTATAGGGCACATATCTGCTGATTCATAATCCGTATTTATGATTCATCAGGTCTCGCATTTTGGACCACTTTTACATTCCATCCTTGTTCCATCGATCACTGGAAACCTGCTTTGATACATTATGATATTTGTGACTGACTGATCAGCTAGCTATAATATACATGCATGGCTTTGATTTTGCATGTGTCCATCCAATCTGCATGTCACTGCCTAAATTAAATGGACCAATCTTGAATGCCGTGAATGAAATTAATTAATTGGGAAATTGGATTACAGGTTAGCTCATTAATCGATTAACCGAGGACCTTTTAATTTCTTTTATTCATTTTTTTGGGTACACGTTTTATTCATTTTCTACATAAGATACATCACACAAAAATATTCCTGTCTAGCTGTCTAGTCCCATCACAATAATAGACTAATATTCATCAATTCCTCTTGCTTCTGTAAACCATACTTGCCTGTATGCAAAAATTTCGACAATTTTTTGGCCACGTGAATATGAACACCGACAAGGTCTAAGACAACTTGCACAATAATGTTGTTTGTTTCCAACGATGAAGGTCAAGGTTCGAGATCATGAAAGAGCTGGCGAGTGCTAATAATTTATGCGTCCGTTTCATATGTGTTAATTAAAGGATCGCATCAAGAAACTGTTGCTAGCCTTGGTAATTTAGGCCACTTGAAAATCCTGCTGCATTTCATGGACGAGGAAAAACAATATATGGATGTTTCGTTCCTATACAGAACTACATAACATCTCCATCAATCAGTATGATCTGTTCATGCTTGATATCCTTTCAAGCTAATCCTGCTCGATCGTACACAACTGTGTGAGGGGACACACACACAGTCCTTTT